CCAAAAGGTGAATCAGAAATGTAGTTTGCTATCCACCACCTATTTGCCCTTATTCTGGTTACAGTGCATTACTTTCCATCAGAAGAATCACCCCTTTTCTCACTTTCAGTTCAATTATTTCTTATGGAATTGACTCCACTCTAAGGAGCTACGCATGAGAGAGGAGGTAAAGTTCAGACCTGCTATTGCCATCTTGCCGTTGTAGTGCCTGAGAATGGGCCAGCACTGAAAATATTTCTAAGAGGTGGAGAAGAAAATGTCCCCATAACCTTGACTAAGATATGAATCCAGCCAGTAATCCCTTTGATTTTTAAACCAGTTTGAGCTAGGTACTAGCGCTTGCAACCAAAAAATGTCCTAATGGATTTGCTGCAAAATCACGGTTAATGACATTATCCAGTTCCATGCCCCTTGTGTAAGGTTCTTCTATGTTAAATGCTTTAAAAATCTGCGTATCAGTAAAAAGTACCTGTTGATGAATTAGCATCCTTCCTCTCACATAATTATGTAACCTGCTAAATTTATCTTCTTGCCTTTCCTGTCAGGAAGCTCAGAGCTAAAATTAATGTTCAAGTAAAGTCCTTATTATCCCTGGCTTTTGGCATACTTTTTCCCCCTAATTTTCATGATTTTATGTTTCACTTTAGCATCCTTATTGTATATATGGATGTTACCTTAAACAACTTTAAATTTCTTTTAGAAAATCAATAAGCCTCTGGCACAGAAACAGTATACGCATATGTTCAGTAAAAAAAAATACATCTATTAACAAAATATCTGTGTCAGAAACTGAACAGAGATGTCAAATATGGTGGCTTATTTTACAATGCTTTCTTTAAAACAAACAAAAAGTGTAGAACACTGTACCTACATTCAGAAAATATACCAAATGTATCTGAGAGTCTTGAAGCAAAAGGAAAGAAAAAGTCAAAACCTGGGTTCTAGCCTATGGTTAGGCATGGAGGCAGGGCAGAGGGATGAGGAAATAACAGATCTAAAAATATGTTGCTTTGTGTTTGGGTAGAGTAGGTTCTAGGTTCTAAAAGAAGCCAATAGTAAAAGAATGTAAACTCCATCTTCAGAAATATATCCTCAGCATTTTCAGTTAATCTCTTTGTTCAAGGGGACATGTGGAGAATCATGGGAAAAGCAAATTGTGGTCTGATACTTCTATCTCTCACCCTACCCTTAAAGTTAACCTAAGAAAAGTATAAAAGGTTTAGTCTGGTAAGCCCAAAATATTTAAGGG